TGTGAATCTTGTTAGAGACAAAGGAACTGGAAAATCGAAAGGTTTTGCTTTTGTTGCATATGAGGATCAGAGAAGTACAATTCTTGCTGTGGGTTGGTCTCTTTATCTATCTTTCTGAATTCTGAATTTATATCTATCTACATATCTATCTGAATTCTGAATTGATTCTTGAGTTGCAGATAATCTGAATGGTGCACAAGTTCTTGGGCGTACTATAAGAGTTGATCATGTTACTAAATACAAAAAGAAAGAAGAAGAAGATGAAGAGGAGGAACAGAAGAAAAGAGAGGCACGAGGAGTGTGTCGTGCTTTTCAGAGAGGTGATTGTACACGTGGTGCTGGATGCAAATTCTCTCATAATGAGCAAGTAAGAAGTAACAAAGATAATTTATTTTAATATTATATCCTGTTTTCTTTGGACATTAGTTTACTTGATTCTTTATCTCATCCTTTTTGTGTTTGAATTCAGAGAGCTGCAAACACAGGTTGGGGTCCTCAAGATGCTAAGAATTCAAGGTGGGAGAATGACAAGTTTGAAGGCCCAACAAGGAGTGAAAGAGGAGGCCCAGGCCCAGGCCCATCAAATCGAATGCATGACAAAGATGCAAAAAGTTTGAATGTTGAGAAAGAGAGGTACCAGAAACGGACAGATACAAATGCAAGAGATGAAGACACCAGAAGAAGCAGTGACAGGAGATTGAAACATGGGAATGGGAATGGGGAAAAAGTAAAACCAAGGAGGTATGATTCCGATGAAGATGGTGATAGGAGGAAAGAGAAAAGGACGAAGCAGGAATCGGAATCGGAATCATATCGAAGAGAAGGTGACAGAAGTAGGAGGGAATATGGGTCTCGTGACCACAAAAGGAAGGATGAAGATCAGCGTGTAAGTGTAAGGTCACACAGATAGTTTTGAAATTGTTAAATGACCAATCTGGCAGGAAAAGCCAATTATGTATGTGGGCTGAAGTTGTTGATGTCAAGATGTTGCTCCCTTGATTCTGGTTATTGGCTGTGAATCTGTTGTTTTGAGGTTTTGTAACATGTTTAGGTACATCTTTTACTTTTTTTTTTTAACAAATTAATTTCATATGATGTTCTACACCTTAAGTTTAGACAATGTTTTTTACCTGTTTTTCCACCAGTTTATGTAATGAAGTAGGTATTGTGGGTATTTTTACACGAAACATGCAATGATGATTCGTTTTAGGACCAAATTGCTGAAAATTGATGGCATAGTTTCTACTTTCTAGAGTAAATTACATAACCCGTCCCTGTAGTTTGGTCTGTTTGTGAGTTTCATCTCTAAAATCATTTTTTCAGCTTGGATGATTCTTTAAACTTTCCATTGTTGCATGTTTTGTCCCTACCAAATCTAAAAAGACAGTTTTACCATTATAGATTTCATTTTCATATTTTTTTTTTTTTTTTATCATTTTATAAAACTAAATTTATACCAACCTCCTCCTTTTCTTTTTGTATCTAGATTAAGCATGGAAATCATCAAAGTCCAAATACCATTTGATAGAAAAAAAAAAAAAAACAGCAACATCTCTGTAAGGCTGTATAGCTTGGAATGCTTTGGTTTCTCTTTTTGTAACAAGTTACTGTTATGAACTGATTTGTAATAACAGATTCAATAACATAAAAACCACCCAAATGATTCTAATATTGATTGGAAACACTGAATAATACCCAAAATATTACAAGAACGAATGATAGGTTAGCTGATTCGAGATAGCCACTCTCCCAAGAGGAAATAATTCCAGGTTTAACAGAAAAGATCGATGCCTCACTCCCTGCCCACTACCCTCTATTTATACTATCTATCATAACAAACTAGTATAAAATGCCCAAATTGCCCCTAACTCCCCTGCACCAATAAGATGCTCCTTATTTGTTGATTTCCCCAAACTACCCCCTATCTAAACAATATCACTGAAGAGGGTGCATAACATTACTCCACCCCCAAAGATTCACCTTGTCCTCAAGGTGGATAGAAGTGAAGATGTGGTAGGTAGCATCCAACTCTCCAAACATTTATATTCCTTCCTTCATCTTCCTGAACAGAACAAGAAACAATAACCAAAGCTGGAAATCTTAAATAATGCGAACTTGCTTTTGTGAAGCCATTTGGAAACATCCATCCATAAAAGTATTTGTCTAAATTTGGCTCAAAAAGCATCCAGGAAAGCCGTAGTTGTTCCACAGCTAGTTGTACTTGTAACTCTGGTTTTTGTTGTTGGTTTTTAAGAAGCAAAAATTCATCCCATGCTGACAGTTGTGGCATATGTATTGGTGTCTTAGGTTTCCACTGTGACATGTATTGTTGTTGCTGTGAACTCCTCCGCTGTTTCAGACTTGATGCTCGACTTTTAGATGGATGGTATACCCCACATCCACTGTAACTAGGGTTGTGCAAAGCATGTGCTAATGCTTTTGGATTTCTAGAAGAATTGTTCAGAGGTTCGTGTCTGGCATACCAAGAACTTAAAACTAAAGCATTTGACTTTAAATTCTCTAGGTAATAGACCATGTTTGGAATAGAAGTGATAATTTGTGAAGTCCAATAAAAAGTAAATTTAGTTGTTTGAGCAATAGTACCGGTCTCAACACGTCCCACTGGTACGGTTCCAATTCCAACAACCTTGTAGACCTCTTGAAGTGGTAGACAGAGTGGCTTGTCCGGTGGTTTCTTAAGCTTTCTGCTCTGATCAAGTGCTTCAAGAAGGGTTGGTCCTTTATACCAATGAAGTTTGGTTGACCTCTCATTGATGTTATCTTCAAATCGAGAGCTTGGGACCAATGAGATTTTGTCATGGTTGTATCCCAATTCCATCATGATTTCCTTATACCTGGATTTAGAATAATGGGGTACAGTGACGTCCATCTTGATACGATTTTCTTCACAATTAAACAGCCTTGAAGGCTTGGGTATTGTTGTTGGTGTGGGCCCTAAACAAGCTCCAAGAACCGATTTACTGCTGTTACTGGAGTTACCCTTCAGGGCTGTGGCGAAATTGGTGGAAGACAGAAGTTCAGTATTTAACCCTAGGGTTTTGGGGGTGAAATTGGAAGAAACTGATGCTGTCGACTCCTAAGCGATTGGTGTGAAGCTTGAGGAAGCGGTCATCAATGGTGACGAGAAGGTCCGTGCTGGTGAAATCATCGACGTTTGCAAGACTTCTTGAGTTACCGTCATTTTAATTTCATCCAGGCCTAACTTTTTATCCGCCTTAATAGTCTGATCCCAAGCATGTAGGCCCAACTTGTCAAATTCTACCCATTCCTTGCCTTCCAGCCCATTTCTTCGATGACCTAGGTATCCCTCTTCCGTTACTTCGTTTAACGGAGCCGTCATGCTAGGTCTTTGCTCTGTTACTGTGGCGGCCTGAGAATACGCTACTAGCTTCCGACGATCCCCAACTGCTCCTTCCTGGTTCAAAAGCGAATCTCTCTTTACCCTATTCCTTGCTTCCAGTTCCCGAAACGGTGGTAGTGCTGACGTGGGTGTTATGAATCTACCACGAATCAAGTTCTTCATCTCTTGTCAATCTCTAATCGGTCGTCTTCGATGCTCCCATTCATACCACATTAGGGGGGGATTTGACTTAGTAAGGTAATTAAGTATTTCAAATGTTCACATATGGGTATTGTTTTTTTTGTACTCATTTACCCAACAAACTTGTTTCAGCCGTTCAATAATAACCAACATTACCGGCTATTGTAAGTTTTGGGTGATGTGGCATCTACGTGGCTTGTACGCTACAACACTCATCACCTACGTGGCATTGAGAAGTGTTTACATTATAAGAGGGTGAGATACGACATCTTATTAATTAAAACCCTAGATCGATCGATGGCATCTTCTTCCTCATCCTTTTCTTCCAAACGACAAGACGAATTACAACCGGATCATCCATGTGATTGCGATTTGCCATCTCGTGTGAAGACATCAAGAACCCCAGACAATCCTGGAAGGAAATTCAGAGTTTGTCAAAACTCACTGGTAATTCATATTTTTTACTTCTTCTTCATCCTTCAATTTAACATGTTCTTATAAATTTCTTGAAGAATGGAAAAAGTCCAAGCTGTAAATTTTGGCAATGGTTGGATGAGGATGAAGGGAGGAAAGATGGAAGAGGGCATTACAGGATGAAAGCAGAAGAAAGCTGCAATCTTACCTTGAAAATTTGTACCTTGGAGAATGAAATCAGCATATGTAGGATGAAGATTGAAGAAGAGAAGAACAGGAATAAACAAGAACTTGACAAAGTCAACTGGAAATTGTTTACCCATAGACTTGCATTAATTTTCTTGTTTCTCTTGTATGTCAAAATGTTTTTTTAAATTATGTATTATGATGTAGTATGACTAAATTATGTATGCTTTTGTGATGTTTTCAATGAAAAAGGTTATATTCTATCATTGGAATGGAATAGTACATTGTAATGGAATGGGTATTAAACTTGGTAGTATAAAAGATAGTAATAAACATTGTTATGGAATTGAATCATTGTAATTGAATCATTGGAATTGAATCATTGGAATGGTAGTGTACAAAACTTGTAATGTTATTGTTAATCACTGGAATTGAATTGTTCAAACAATGTAATGGAATTGTGATTACATTGTAAAGGAACTGTGATTACAGTTGATATTCTAAAAGATGGTAATAAATTATAAATAATACAAATGGTATTAGAAAGATGTGCAAAAGATGGTAATTGAAACATTGGAATGGTAGTGTACAAAACTTGTAATGTTATTGTGAATCATTGGAATTGAATTGTTCAAACAATGTAATGGAATTATGATTACACTGTAAAGGAATTGTGATTACAGTTGATATTCTAAAAGTTGGTAATAAATTATAAATAATACTAATGGTATTAGAAAGATGTGCAAAAGATGGTAATATATTATAGACATTCCAGGGAACATTGACTTCAAAAGATGTGTCAAAAGTTTTACATAACATAGTTAAACATTCATTACACCCAAAAGATGTGCAAAAAGTTAAGCTATTCCAACTAGTTTTCAAAAGATGTGCCAAAAGATTCCAAAGTTAAAAGATGTCAGTCAAAGATGCCAAAAACATTAACAACAGTACAATAAGCCAAAAGTTAATCCAACTCATACGGATTGTCATCACTACTGCCCTGTTTTCCCTCCCACATCTTTCTTATCTTCAGTTTTGTAATTCTTTCTGAAGGTTTCCTTGCCCTCTTTCCCACTACAACTTGAAAAGCTGGTATTTCCACTTGATCTTGAACTACAATTTGGTTAGCATCTTCAACTTGAACTTGCACTTCAGGTTCAACTTCAGCTTGAACTGCAAGGTGAACTTCAACTTGGTTAGCATCATGAACTTCAGGATGATTTTCAGGTTCAACTTCAGCTTGCACTTCATCTTGAACTTCATGTTGCACTCCATCTTGGACTTCAGGTTCTACTCCATCTTCAACTTCAGGTTGCACATCATCTTCAAATTCAAGATCAAAAGAGTCAACATCACTTTCAGGTTCTATTTCAACTTCACTGTCACTGTCAATATCAACTTCATGTGCCAATACAACCTTCACTTTATCTGTTTTGTATTACTTGAAAAGTTAAGTTATGCCCAATATGTTAAGTTATACAAGTTATATACAAATAAATATATCAAACATACCAGCTTTCTTGGATTTCTTTTTCTTTGAACTTGCATTTGATGATTCCCCAATTGGTTTTTGAGGACAGGTTGTTCTATTATGCCCACTTTCCCTACATATGCTGCATTTCATCACACTACCTCTTTTTGTGATTGAATGCTTTTTTCCTTGGTTTTCCCTCTCAATCTGATCCCTTTTCCTTTTTGTTGATGGTCTTCCTGGTAGCCTTCTCCTTTTGGGGGGCAATGGGCTGATGTAGTCTACATGAGGCCACATGTCACTACCATTTAGTGGGTTAATGGTATTCCTGTAACAGTTTAGGTACATTGATGTGGTAAACCATGGTGACACATACTCCTGTACATCCCTGTTGAGGCTTGCAATGCAAGCATACCCATGCACACAAGGGTAACCTGTTAACTGCCAAGTTCTGCAGGCACATGTCCTACTACCAATATCCACAACATATGCATCATACCCAAGTCTGACTTCATACTGTTGATAACCAGATGGTATTACTTTCCAAAACCTGTCCATATACACATGTTTAAAGACAAACATATATAAGGACAAACATGTTTAAAGACAAACATATATAAGGACAAACAGTTTTAAGCACTTACCTTTGAAGATCCTTAAGCTTGGACAACTTCAGCCTAATGGTAGGACATATGGTTAAATCCCAAGATTGCCCCTTAATCTTCTGTCTATAAAGCCTCTCCATCACATAAATTCGAATTTCTTCTAACATGGTGATTAGTGGTCTCTTCCTAGCAACTTCAATCACAGAGTTGAAACTCTCAGAGATACCATTTTCATATGCATCACAAGCCCTATCAGTCTGAAAAAATGCTTTACTCCAAGTTTTAGGGTCCCTTTCCATCAAATGGTCATAAGCTAGTGGCTCTAATTTCTTGATTTCATTCATGTGTTGTTCAAATTTTGCAGGGGTAGTAGCTGCAGCAGCATACCAGAAAAGCTTTCTAAACACTTGGCCCTTAAACCTTTTCAGGAAGTTAGCACATATGTGCCTAGCACATTGCCTATGCTCTGCTGCTGGAACCCTTTCCTTCACAGCCTCAAGTAATCCCTGTTAGCAATAGACACAAAATTTAAACAACAAAAACATAACATAAGCTAAAATAAAGATGAAAATAATAAAAATTGATTACTTTGTGTTGGTCTGATATCAAGGTTAGTCCATGCCCAACTCCCATTCCAAGGTCCTCAATTAGAAGGTTAATAAACCACTTCCATGTTTCTTTACTTTCCACTGATACAACAGCCCAAGCAATGGGATATATATGGTTATTTGCATCTCTACCTATAGCAGAGAGTATGCCCTTTAGGAAGCAACCATCTAGTCCAATTACCCTCCTACAACCTTCAATCCATCCATCCTTCAATCCCTTGAAACATACATAAAACTTTGAGAAATATGTGGTTCCATCAGGCATGACATCTACATCCATCTTCACTGTTGATCCAGGGTTAGTCCTTCTTATCTCTTCTCCATAGCTCCATGTTTTTGCATAATGCTCTTTCAAAGTACCCTCTATCTCCTGAAATGCATACTTCCTTGCATTTCTGCATTGACCAACACTTGCAATCAAATTAAATTTCTTGCTGACCTTAGCTTTCAACTTCCTTATACTCATCTTTGGTTTCTGAAGTATATGATTCATGAAATGCTTTGCTATCCATTTATAGGTAACAATGGACCCAAATTTGAACACTCTTGCACAATTATGCATATCATTCAGAGATTTAATCTGGAATGATTTTTCACTGCTCATCCAGGTTGCCCATAATCTAAAAGGACAACCTTTACCCTGTTTATTTGTCTTACCTTTACAACATTTTACCAATAACCTTTCATGATCACTTTTCTCATACCATAAATCATATCCATTTTTGACTGCATAGTTGGTGATACACAACTTCAATTCCAATGGATTAGAAAACTTCATACCCAAAACTGGCACCATTTGCTCCCATTCTTGATTCTCATTATGGACAGGGAACACAACATCCTTAAGTTTCCCATTGTTTGCTTCCTCTTCATCATCATCACTAATATGCCCTGAAAGTTTGTCCAAGAATGGGTCTCTAACAGTTTTATCAAAAGTATGTTCATCTTCATCATCCCATTCATGTTCATATTCCATTTTCATTGAAACTTCAGAATCCTTGTCATCCTCTTCATCCAACTCATACCCTTTACCATCTTCTAAGAACTCGTTATCAGCCCAATCAAGAATTGGTTCATTTCGGTGGTCAATGTACACATCTAACTCACTCTCAAGACTATCACTCTCCAGACTATAAACAGTCTCCACAAACTCCCAATAATCAGCATCACTGTCGATTCTTCTAATACCCTCACACAAGCTTTCCTTTCTCATACAGTAGTAGACATTATCACATTCTCCATTTGTTAATTTCGTAAGCCACAAAAGAAACTCTTTATACGTAAATCCCCCAAAATCCACATCACGTACATTTGTTTTTACGGGGTCTAAGTACACCAATGGGTTTGGCGAAAAGAATCCATTGTAATGAAAATCTACGGGTACATACATACCTGTAGATGAGGATGCCATGCTAGCAGTCGATTTCAATTCCAACTTCAATTCCAAGCCCCTAATCGTCGATTTGATGTATCGTTTGATTTCTCACAGAAGAAGGTAATCGAGGTGTGTTAGCTGACGATGACGAACCCTAATTAAATGAGAAAGGGGTGTAATGGCCACGTAAGATGCCACGTAATGTTTTAAACCGAGCTAAATCAATGTTACCGGCTAAAACAGGTAATAGCCGGTAATGTTGGTTATTATTGAACGGCTGAAACAAGTTTGTTGGGTAAATGAGTACAAAAAAAACAATATTACCCATATGTGAACATTTGAAATACTTAATTACCTTAGTAAGTCAAATTCCCCACATTAGGGCATCGCCTTGAAGAGTCATTACTGCAGCCTCAAGCTTGTCTTCTTCTCTCAATCCATAAAAAGAAAAATACCATTCAGCCTCTAGGATCCAGTCCAACTGATTACCATCGAACAAGGGCATCTCTCGCTCTTCGGAAGGCAGCTTGGGACCTCCTGGGATCAGAACTGCATTCTTGTTGCTGTCATGGTCGGAATATTCTAGCGATCCAAACGGAGAATTCGCCAAAATATGTTCAGTTGCGTCATTGGAAGATTTGAACCGCCGACGTATTAATCCTTTAAGCTCTTCCCAATCTCGTATGGGTCGCCTCCGATGCTCCCATTCATAGAAAAGTAAGGTGTCGCCTTCTAGAGATCTCACAGCAACCTTCACCTTTTCTTCATCCTCATACGTGTAGAATGACCTTTCCACATTAAAAATCCACTCCTCTGCGTTAGTTCCATTAAACAAGAGCATCTCAAGTTTGTGAAACCTCCGGTTGGTCCCTCCTTCCTTAAGAACAGTTTCTCTCTTCCTTGTTTCAACTTCCGGTGTTGATACCACTTATTTCTTCCCATTGGGCTCTTCCGGTCGGCTCTTGGCGATGGCACTCAAGACCTCTTTAAACTTTTGGTCCGTCTTCAACTGAAGAGAGGCCATCGATTCAGCGTTCTGTTGGATTTGATGTCCTTGATTCTCCATTCGAGCATATAAATACCCTAACTCTGTCACAAGCGATTCAACCTTCTTGAGTTGAGCTCCTCTAGCCTCCTTCCCTCCTCCTTTATCACCAACCATAATCCCAGGTGAAAGTGAATGCTCTGATACCATTTGATATGAACTGATTTGTAATAACAGATTCAATAACATAAAAACCACCCAAATGATTCTAATATTGATTGGAAACACTGTATAATACCCAAAAGATTACAAGAACGAAGGATAGTATAGCTGATTCGAGATAGCCACTCTCCCAAGAGAAAATAATTCCAGGTTTAATAGAAAAGATCGATGCCTCACTCCCTGCCCACTACCCTCTATTTATACCATCTAACATAACAAACTAGTATAAAATGCCCAAATTGCCTGTAACTCCCCTGCACCAATAAGATGCTCCTTATTTGTTGATTTCCCCAAACTACCCCTATCTAAACAATATCACTGAAGAGGGTGCATAACATTATTGTTATGATCCCACATCGGCCGAAAATACTATAAGTTGATGGCTTGTAAGTCTAAGTGTCCCCTCCTCCTACAAGCTGACTTTTGGGAGTGAGTTCTACGTTTGTGCTTATGGCATGATACGTGCCTAGTATGGGATGGGTTCGTATCAATTGGTATCAGAGCCGTCCCCATCTTTCGGGGTGCCAACACTTGGAGTGGTGGCCTACGGAGTGGTGGCTTGGACCTGAAAAGAGGGGTGCCAACCGTGACCAACGTAGCCGTGACCAACAATGACTCGGAGTGGTGGCTTGGACCAAAAGGGGGTGCTAACCATGACCAACGAGGACGTTGGCTCTTCAAAGCGTGGGGTATTGTTATGATCCCACATCGACCAAAAATACTATAAGTTGGTGGCTTGTAAGTCTAAGTGTCCCTTCCTCCTACAAGCTGGCTTTTGGGAGTGAGTTCTACATTTAGGCTTATAGCATGATACAGGCCTAGTATGGGATGGGTTCGTATCAGTTACAAGAAGGTTAACGAACTTGAAGGTGTTTACATATAAATTGCAATCGTCATCTATAAGTTATAAATAATTCATCTTCAACCCATCTCAGCAATAGCAATCATCTCATCAATTGCATAATTCTATGGAAGAAAGAAACTAGAAGAAGATTTGGTGTTTACAAATCCATCACAACTACAAGAGATGAAGAGAACCTAGGGTCTACACATGGTTATGCGAGTGGAGATCACTGATGGTGGATACGACTGATTGAGGGTAATGGAGAGAAGGGATAAGGGCAGGTGTGACCCAGGTTTTATTAACATTTTTCTTATTTAAGTTGTTAATAATACATGTCAACAAATACGCAACAAAACAAAGTTTAAGGGGCCAACATTCTTTTAGGGACAAAAATTGCAAAGCAGATGAAACTGTAGGGACGATTTATGTAATTTAGTCTAGTTTCTATGAGTTGCATAAATTAAATTGGTAAAAAGATGAAACAACCTTGAAAAATGAAGGAGCATTTAGCTGTTATGCTATGTCATGACTCAATACTCATGAGCTAAAACCATGAATGCCAAAAAGCTTGAAAATGGCTTTTACTCGTGAAAGACCGGACTCTCAAACCGGTCTCATCTTCTCATTTGTCAACAAATGATGACTCAGCAAGATCAATAGCACGTGCAAGACCCGCAGCCTTGTTCTCACATTCCCTCTGCTCATCACCAGGATCACTATCCGCCACGATCCCCGCCCCGGCCTGAAGATGAGCCACCCAATCCCGCCTCTTATTCACATCCCTATACGAATACATTGTATCATAACGTGCTGCGGTAGGGAACACAATCGTTCTCAAAGCCAGAGCAATGTCCATGTCTCCTGTGAATGAGATCCCCCCAAACCCACCACTATATGGCCCACGCCTATTCACCTCCAACCGATCAATCAGTTCCATCGCTTTCACCTATTTATATATTTAAAATAATGATGAAAAGTAGAGAAATAAAAGAATGAATTTATTTAGAAACCTCACCTTAGGTGCACCACTGACTGTTCCAACAGGTAATGCAGCACGAAGAGCATCCCAACTACTCAACTCATCAAGAAGCTCTCCGCTCACTGTCGAGCTTATATGCATCACGTGAGAATATCGTTCCACGTTCATCAGCTTCTCTACTTTAACAGAACCCGCTTTTGAAACCTAACCAATATGCAAATCCCTTTGCTTTTTTTATTATTACAAAATAATAATAATAATAATATAGTTTTTTTTTTTTTTTTTTGAAAAAAAGAAAAAGAAGCAGACCTTGCCAACATCGTTTCTCCCTAGATCAACAAGCATGATGTGCTCTGCACATTGTTTTTCATCGTGAAGAAGTTGATTTTCCAACATGTAGTCTTCTTTGGGTGTCTTCCCTCTCCTGATTGTCCCAGCAAGGGGTCTATTTGTAACTTTTCTCTGTCAACAAAACACAATTTATAACATGTTTGGAATGGAAATGTTATTATTATTACCTACCTTCTTGACACGGGTAAGAATTTCAGGACTTGAAGCAACAAGGATACACCCTCTAGCCTGGGTGCATAAAACAATAAATAACTTATAAAACTGTATTTTAATAAAATACCAATTACAGGTTTCAAAAGAGCAGAGAACCTGTAAGTAAGTCATATATGGACTGGGGTTGACAATTCTTAGGGCCCTGTAAACTTCAAATGGATCTGCAAAAGTACGCCTTTCAAAACGTTGACTTAAGACAATCTGAAATATATCCCCAGCCAAAATATGTTCTTTAGCCTGCAACACTGCCTCCTTGTATGCTTCACTTGTCATGTTTGAGTTTTTCAAAGAAGGCCCAAATAGGTTGGTATACAGCTTAATTGACCCCGGAGAAAGTCTTGGACTGTGTACACAAGTCAAAACTCAAATCAGAAAAAAAAAAAAAAAAAAAAAATTAAGTTTGACTTTTTATTTAAAATTGTAGTACTCACGGAACAATATCATGAACTCTAGACACTAAAGCCTCCAATCGGTCAGTTCCATCTTTGAAAGCTTCATCTACAGTAGAATATTGATCCATTCGCACCCAATGTATAACATATGCTTTCTGTGTGTTTCACTCGCATATTATAATAATAGAATTATAGAGGAAGGCACAAGTCGATAATGTTAACATGTTATCATGGTCAAACCTTTTCAACATGGTCAAACACAATGACATCATCATAAAGGCCAAGATGAACATCCGGAAGGTTCCTGTCATCCTCTGGTGCATTTGAAAATGGGATTTTTTTCTTCTCTACATATCGCACTGTGTCATAAGAGAAATAACCAACCCACCCACCTGTATTTACAGAAATTGGGAGCCACATAAATCATGGCATTGAACATTATTTGTGACATATTTTTATTATTGATAAAGAAATGTAAATACGTTGCTTTTATGAGTAGAGAATTGGAAGTATGTTCTCAAAACTTATTCTTACCACAAAAGGCATCAGGGAGCTCATCAATTCTTTGAGGTTTCCATTGTTCCATTATCCTCCTAGGAACAACCATGGGATCCTCAACAAACTCCTCTGTTTTCCTCCCTTCATGGTGATCCATAACTGTAACCATATTCTCTTTTGCCACAATTTCCATTGTGGGCTGAGCTCCAATCACACTGTACCTCCCCTAACAAGATAAATCCGCGACTTTAACATGTATAAAACAAAATCAATAAAAAAATTGGAAGATCATTTTAGTAGGATTAAGAACAGAAGTGGTGCTCACAACATTGGAAGCTTTTAAGCCTGGTTCAACAGATTCGAATAAGAAACTTGGTGCATCACGATCATCTTCTTTGACCAGACACCTGTAAGCCAGAACTGGAGTCAGATGATCAGAAAATATTGACCTGTATAATGGAATCAGATTCCCATCCTTTGCAGCTTCCTTGAATTTCACTGAATGGTCGACTGCCAAAACAATATCAATCCCAAATCAAATCAAGTAAATGAAAGAGTTAAGAAAAAAAAACATAAGGCTAGTGATCTAATGTAGCAGCTTTGGTAGCATTCAGGTAGTTAGCAAGCTATTAAAGTCCCTATATAACCTAAAGCATGCATCAGGGAAGTAGTTCCACAAATCAACCATATTTTTCAGAGCAAAATGGTCAGGTTGATCTGCATGCTATTCCTTGTTGTTAATCTCAGGAAACAATGATGTAATGTAACAGTTTTGGTAGCAGACACGTAGTTGGATTGGGTTGTTAATGATGACATGACATGATCATATATAAAATAGTCTCCTCTGTAATCCTCCTATTCGTACTTGTGAATAAGAAATCAATTCAATTCGTCCATATTTTTATCATCTACTCTCCAATTCCTTTGATGAATTCGAACTAAGACTGTCAAGATGTTTCCACGAGGAATTAACATAAGCAACTAAAGTAGCAAACCAGGATTTGTCGAAAATGGGAAGGCAATGACGCTATCAAATTGAGGATATGAATTAATGCAAAATTAGTGGAAGCAAGAGAAAGAGTACCTGGTGCGGTTGGAGATCGAGCAGAGCATGTGAGAGTGAAGGAACGAGAGGTGGCGCTGGAAAGAGCGAGGGAGGGAGGGAGGGAGGAAAGACGAGGGTTAATGGAGGAACGGTGGATAGAGGGCGGGAGAAGGCGGTGGGAGATGGCTAGGGTTTCCATTGATAGTCAGAACATTGGACGGAAGTGGAGGCTTATGTATTTGCCTATTTGGTGTCTTTTTCTTACATAGAGGATGACTGTTGCAACTGTAGAGATTCTGCGGATTTTAGATT